GGCAATCAGCTGGGCCTTGGCTGCTTTCCGCACAGGCAAGCCCCTCTCTCTGCACAGCCCCCCCAGCTCTGCCTTCAAGAGTCGGGCGTAGGCCATCTGCCCGCTGGGCCCCTCGGTGCAGACTCACCAGTCTAGTGCTGCAGCGCCCCACGATTCCCCGGAACCGCTTCGCTCTGTCTCCAGCACGCCTGGCTCCAGGGCTCTTGCTTCTACTGCGCCTTGTCGCTCGCCGCTGGAAGCTCCATCCACGGGGTGCAGTGCATCCCACTTCTGACACCAGTGTGACGGCGCGTTGGGGGTCCCCTGTCTCCTGCACCCCGAAATGGCACAAACAGACTCCACCAGCCAGTGGAATTGAGGGTGGTTTATTGTTCCTCCAGCACAGCGCAGCACAGATGTAATCTGGTTACAAGAACTGGGGCTAAGAGGCCTCAGTGCTCCCCTTGAGATAGGGGAGTCCCAGCCCCCCTCCCCAGCTCCTTCTCCCCTGCTTTCCAGACAGGAACTAACCAACTCTCCTCCAGCCCTGCCCCCCCAGCCAGGGCAGCATTCCACCTTCCTTTGTTCCTCTCCATGGGGGGTGTCTGGCCACTGGTTTGCATAGTGACTCATCCTGTTTTGTTGGGTCGTGGTACCCACGGCAGCCAGTGGGGGTTACCCCAGAGCCAGCAGCATAGAAACCAGCCAGGTGCCCCCACTACGTCACACCTACTTAAACTATTTAATTACATTCAAATGTCTTTGTAGTCCATTGTATTAAATGCAAATATTATGTACTGTGCATGCGGATTAGCAACAGACTAGTGAACATGGCAGACAAGAATAGTACATTTGGAACATTATGTGTGGAGTTACTGAGAAGTAGCTATGGGGAGGGTAATGCAAAAATTTTGCCAGTTATGCACAAGCCAATCTTTTGAAGCTTTGCCTTGAGGAAGGGACCATTGTCTACTAATTACCTATTCCCAGAATCTGAAGATCAAAGGCCAAACCTTTATACAGAAAAAGAATGATCTGCCCAGTCAGTATTTTTTTTTCCTGAGCTGAAACTAGTGAATTTGTAACCACAGAAAAACCCTAAGGTAGGTTTGCAGGAATACAAACCTTTATTACAATCTCTGCTAAACTTATTAGCATGATGGCAGCTTTTTTAAAATTGTTTTCTCTTTAAGAAAAATGTGCTCTCTTAGCAAGAGCTATGTGGTTACTCATAATTGCTAATAATTACAATAGCCTTTGAAGGGAAAGAAAGGCATAGATGTTGGCTTGTTCAGGCAGTATGGCTTTGTGATATCAGTGTAGGCAGGGAATTATGCAGCTTAGGAAAAAAAGAAAAGGAGAGGAAGAGATGCTGCTCACTTCCAAGCAAGGTGTCAAAGGCTGTTCCCCACTCTGATGAATGCAGAAGTTGGGGACCCACAAGAGCACTTCAAAACCTTGCGTCTACAAGGCTCTGGTACAAAAACTTCTAATACCCAGATTTCAGGGAATCTGCTGCCACCATCAAGTATTTTGAACCTACAAACAGGGGTGGACACTTGAAACCAACCCCAGGGGTACCCTCTTTTCCCTCCAAAGAGCTTGAAAAGAGAAAAACAAGCTGTAGTCTGTGGTAGTTGACCCTTCAGTCAGGCATGCAGATACACAGACAGATCTTCCAGGATGCAAAAAAATCAACCAATATTGGCTAATTAGAAATAACAACAGACTTTTATTATCAAAACAAAGCTACAAGTTGCAAGCATAGTAAAGTGGCTAGATGGAAAGAGCCACCAATTGATATAGATATTCAAGGAAAGCACCTGAGCTAAAAGACTTAGTTACAAAAGAAAACACCAACCCTCCCACCCACTCACAATATTAACAGCTCAGACATTATTTCCAAATCCCCAAACAAGTCAAACAACAAATCCTGACCGACTAGCTAAACTTTTTCCTACTTATACCTTGTAATAAGTCTGTTCTTGGAAAGAGAAGCATCTCCCATCTCTCTCAGTACTTGGAAGAAACTGCTCTCTCTCAAATAAGAGAGAGGGAAAACCCCTCTCTTCCTGTCTGAAATTCCTACCTGCATTGTTATTGGCTGACCACCCTATACTTGGCTAGGTACAAGAGACAATAGTTAACCCCTTAGTCACTGGGTGCTGGTCAGCACTCCTGATTATATGACAAGGGGATTGCTGAAGGTAGGTATGTTAATCGATACGCTGATGCTTATCGATTCCTGTTACTGGTTAAACTTTGCTAGGAAGCTGGGAGCCCATGGAGGCTGGCAGCTTGCAGGAGGAGGAACCTGTAGTGGTGAGACCATGGGGCCTGAATCCATGCATCCTTCCCTACCTATATCTCCAAAAACACAGTTAATCCCGTGACAGATAATTTTGTTTATGTTACTATTTTGCACATATTTTACATCTCTAGCTGTTAAGGATGTGAACAGGTAACCCGTTAACTGATTCAAGTGCTGCCCAGCAGAGTGCCCCACAGCAGCCAGCATGTGTTTCAACGGTGGTGCACATCAGCACATGCCTCAGTGCACATAACATTTTGTTCCTGCACCTGGGTGCCAAAAACTAGAGGAAATATTGTCCAGTAGCCTTTAAGAACCAGAAAGAATACAGGAGCAAACGCCATGAACTGTGACCCTCCAGCCAAGCCATTACTCAAAACCCCTCACCCTCAATAGGTCCCTCATCCCAAAAACACTACAAGGATGTGCCGGGGGCCAAACTGTTTCAGAGTTACAAGCAGCTACCAATCGTTAGAACAGTCTAGAAAGTCAATTCCCGTCACACTGTGAAAGCAGCTTCCCGGGGTGCTGGAGGGGAAGGGGCTGTGCTCGTCCGCAGACAGCGAGTTGCGGCGGCTGGTTCTGGCCGGGGGGTGCGGCGCTAAACGTGGGGAAGGCGGCACGTGGCCGGCGCCC